CACTGTTAGAATGTTATGTTTGTCTAGCCTGCAGTGGGGTACTCAATAGTGAGTACAGCCCAATTTAGGGTTTGCTATATGTACTCAACTGCTTGCTAGTGAACCCTCTCCTCTTCTCTCATTCATTCCTGTTTCAATCTTTACATGGTATAGAGCTAGACCGATCCTCCCTTGGGCCCACCACTAAGCTAATTTTTTTTTTTCCTGCCCTGCTGCCCGAAGCGCCCTTAGCGGCCCCTTCGCGGCCCCTTACCGGCCCCTTCGTGGCCCCTTCGCGACCCTGTCGCGGCCCTTCGTGGCCCCTTCGCGACCCCGTCGCGGCCCTTCGTGGCCCCTTCACGACCCCGTCGCGGCCCTTCGTGGCCCCTTCGCGACCCCGTCGCGGCCCTGTCGCGGCCCCGTCACGGCCTCGCCCAGGCCCTGCCCCGTCGCCCGGCCCTGCCCCGTCGCCCGACCCTGCCCAGTCGCCCTGTCGCGGCCCCCCGTCGCGGCCCCCCGTCGCGGCCCCCCGTCGCGGCCCCCCGTCGCGGCACCTGCCCCGTCGCCCACGTCGCGGCCCCCCGTCGCGGCCCCCCGTCGCGGCACCTGCCCCGTCGCCCACGTCGCGGCCCCCCGTCGCTGCCCCCCCCGTCGCGGCCCCCCGTCGCGGCCCCCCCGTCGCGGCCTCCCGTCGCGGCCCCCGTCGCGGCCCCTGCCCCGGCCCTGCCCCTGCCCTGCCGCGGCCCTGCACGGACCCTGCCCCGGCCTTGCCCCGGCCCTGCCCCGGTCCTGCCCCTGCCCTGCCCCGGCCCTGCCCCGACCCTGCCCCGGCCCTGCCCCGGCCCTACCAGGCCATGTCGCGGCGCACCCGGGGCCCGCGCCCCGCCCCCCCCCGCCCCTCTTTTCCCGTCGCCCCCCCCCCCCCCCCCCCGTAACCTACCTACCCGCCATCCCGCCCTGCCCTGTGTTAGGGTTTGGGGGTGGCGAGTAGGGGGTGGCGGGTGTGTGTTCACCCCTGCTCCTCCTCCTCCTCTGTCTCCCACTGCTGCAGCTGCCGCTGAGGGGGGTGGGTGTGTGGGAGTCGACGGAGTGGTGCTAAGGGGTGGGGTGTGAGTGAACCTAGGGTGCAGCAGGGGGTGTGTGAAAGGGGGGTGGGATAGCTTGGGGAGGATGAAGGGGGGTGGCCGCCGTGAAGCCCGCAGCTCCAGTCGCCCGTGAGACCGTTGCGCCAGTCGCCCGTGAGCCCGTTGCGCCAGTCGCCCGTGAGCCCGTTGCTCCAGTCGCCCGTGAGTCCGTTGCTCCTGCCGCTCAGAGTTAGCCGCGGAGCCAGTTACTCCAGTAGCCCGTGTGCCAGTTGCTCCAGTTGCCAGTGTGCCAGTTGCTCCAGTTGCCCGTGTGCCAGTTGCTCCAGTTGCGCCGTGTGCCAGCAGCTTCAGCTGCCGCCCACTACCTCCTCTCCTCTCATAGTCCCTCCTCCTCCACACTTGCCCTCTGCTATAGCCTCTAGCTTTGCTTACATTTGTGAACTTTAAACTGTACTTGTGCTCAGAATGTGTGGTGACATTGTGATCCACCCTGAGCTTGTTTTGCTTTGCTTCTTGTGCTGATTACACCCCACTTTGGCTATGGGGGTGTGTCAGAATGTTATGTTTGTCTAGCCTGCAGTGGGGTACTCAATAGTGAGTACAGCCCAATTTAGGGTTTGCTATATGTACTCAACTGCTTGCTAGTGAACCCTCTCCTCTTCTCTCATTCATTCCTGTTTCAATCTTTACAGGCACTTCAGCCTCGTGATCATCAGTGTTTCTGTACTGTTTTAGGCCTTGTGCCTACTTTGCCTCACTTGCTCACTGCGTTACTTCGCTTGTACTGTGATTTATATACATATTCCTGCATGCTTACCCCTGCTAGGTTATGATCACTGTACTGTTTGTTTTCACTTATATAATTCTGCATGTGAACTGGCCTTGTGGCCATTTGCTTGTGCTCAGAGTGTGTGGTTACTTTGTGATCCACCCTGAGCTTGCTTTGCTTTTTCTTGACTGGTCTTGTGACCCCTTGTTCTCCCCCACTTTGCCTATGGGGGTGTGTCAAAATGTTATAATGCTTATGTTGTGTAGGCTGTAGTAGGGTAGCCCATAAGGGGTACAACCCAAATAGGGTTAGTACTTGTACTCAGTTCTATCTCAATTCAATCATTCTCGTTTAGATTCTTGACACACCGAAGACAACTGGGTTCCCGTAGACAGAATTGAGAACCACCCCGTCCTCAGCGAGTATCTGCGCAGCCGAACTTTCCGGGATGTACATGCGCTTTCGTAAGGAGGGCCTCCTTAAGGGGGGGGGGGGAGGGGTAGTGTAAGGAAAATTCCTTTTCCTTACTTCGCATCCCTGCTCAGCGCGTACACCACTATTCCCGCCAACAGCACCCAACAGTAAACCGTTACCACTCGCGACACTCGCCTCGACTACTGTTCGCGCCATTGTTCACGACGCGAACCAACCTCACGGTTCGGTTGGTAACCCGCGCTCCGGACAGGGCCTATGTTTGGTTTTTGGCTACTCACGATTAGCAGTGTAGTTTTTTTCAAAACCCTTCTGAGCAGTGTGCCCTTTTTGGATACACTGATGGATCAGTGTAACTTGAACTTTTGAAAACTTTACCCAGAGGCATCAGTGTAGGTATATTTTTTACCCTTATTGTAATGCAGGCAACTCAGTATGTGCTGGTAGCAACCAAGCTCGAGGCCCAAATTGGGCGCTGGTGGGTGGGGGTTGTGAACTCAAAAGTTGAGCGCAGTGGCTTGTCTGGTTTCGCTGCAACACTTGTTTTTTCGCCGAGTCAGCAAGCTTCCCGGGGGGAACGTGGGTTTGGGGCAGGGCTCTTGCTAGGATTTAGGCCCGTCTGAAAAAGCCTAAGTAAAAAAACTTTCTGTCTGGCATTCAGACGGGCAAATTTTTATGGTCTGGTTTTTCAGACTAATGTTGGAGCTTAGTCTGATTTTCCAGACTAATTAATTTGCGTGGTCTGATTTAGCTAACACACCTGTCGAGCATAATCACATGTTTTTCCTGGTTAATGAACACACCACTTGCGCGTCGCTAAGTGTTGGCTAGCTGACAGGCGTGTGCCAAATTGGGTGGGGAGAGGGGCTGTTGGGGAATTGTATGCACGTGGCATCAGGAGTTGCGAGGAACCAAGACAAGTGCTAGTTGCAGGTGGAGGGACCCCAAGGGAGGGGGGGCGCTGGGCTGTGAGCGAGACTCGACGCGATGAGGGACATGGGAAAGCGGGCCAGGCTGGGAGAGGGGAGGGGACTTGGGGAGGACCAAGCGGGCCAGGCTGCATCGCCTCTACAGTACGTTGCAAGCAGAGATGCAGTGACGCGGTGTTGGTTGTCAGTACTCACGTGCTGGCGTCGTAGTGCATCATTACGAAATTGAGTGTATCGTTACGAAATTTCTAGGAAACTTCGTCTCGATAAGTAGAGTTTCGATGGGGGGGTGCCCTGTACGCCCTTAAGGGTAATCTTCGCTAAGGGAAAATTTACCCCATAGCATCAGTGTGGCCTAAATCGTTTCACTGTCAAATCAGTGTAACACTATGTTTCAAAAAAAATTCCCAAACACATCAGTGTAGGCCCTAAATTTCACCCTTCTCATCAGTATAGCAGTGTGATTTACACTGATAAAATAGGCCCTGGCTTCGGACCTCCGCCTCGACAATTCCCAACCTCGGCGCTAGGCCCGTCGCGCACCCCATTTTCATGCATTACCGTTACCACTGTAGCTTTTCTATATATTCTTAGCTCATGTCTTCGCTCATTGTATTGTTTTGCTTCGATAGTGCAATTCTAGCTCGCTCGCTCAATTGCACTCGTAACATTTTATCTGTGGGGAATCGGAAGACGGTCTTAACATTTATCGTAACATTTTATCAGGGAATCGTAACATTTCCAGTGCTGAACTGGTCTTCCGATTCCCGCCAATTTTTGAAAAGGCGGTTTGCTGAAGAGTTGCAGTATGATCTCGTGGTTGCCAGAGCCCTAGGTTCCCGCCATGCGACGCGAGTCATCTCCTGCCCTCATCTGCTGTCGGGTGCTGAAGGATCTGAACTTCTGATGGACTCGGGGAAAGCAAGTCAGCTCCACCAATTGCAATCACACCCTGCTTTTACTTCACTCCGTTTGTTAGCCCTCTCCTCACCAATCATGCAAATCGCGACATGTCACTGGCAATACGTAGCTGAGTAAGATATGTTTTCCTACGTCAATACCTCATCGAACAACGCGTAACACAAAGCCTTTCTGGCTGACGCCTTATCCAGCCGTACCAGCATACTCGCTTCAACATGGCGCAGTTAATTCTCGACAAGGAGAACCAAGTCCCGGTAGCGATAGCAAGTACGGTTAAGGTAGAAGAGAGATGTGGGAATTTGGGTCCGCTGACAAAGGGAGCAGAGTCAGCAGCCTCGTGCGACTCATTATCTGCTTCTCGCACTCCGCTCGCATGTAGCGTTCCAGGGTCGCAAGTTGGCAAAGACATGACATCGTGGGAAGCAGCATTATACGAGCACGTTAGAAGCATTGTACGAGAGCAGCGAGCACTTCCTGACAGTAAACCGATACGGCAACGGAAAGTGCTATTGTCAAACATTCGCAAGGCGCCAGAGTCTCCAACTGCTTGGCTGGAATTTTTATTGAATGAAGAGAGAATAGAACGATTTAGACAGGACGCACGAGGAGCCGGAGGCCGCGAGGGTTCCGTCGAGGTCCTTCAGTCGCTGTTCAGTCTCTTCGTCCTAGCCAGAGGGCTGATCCCGCTTGCCACTTATCGCCACCACGATGCGTTTGTTCGCATATGGCTGGAAAGTGCGAGGAGGTAAGCTAGCTCTCAGGCTCCGCTTTGTCCCGTTGCACGCATCTTTTCGTGTCCGTACGTCGCAAGATTTTGATGCATGTGCGGTTTTGTAACGTTGCAGGCAGCCCACGGACGAGGAGGAGCGCGAGACGTACAAGCACATGAAACACCACCGCATAGGAGATCGGACTGCGAGGCGGTACATCCAGCAAGCCCGCTTCGAACTGCGTAGAGGTAAGCACTGCTACAAGTCTCGTGCCGCGTGACGCGTACAGTCTCTTTGCTCACTCCCTACTCCCACCGCTACTGCAGGCAACCTGACCAAGGCGTTGGCTTTGCTCTTTCGAGGAAGGACGTGCAAAGCAGAGCCCGCGGGGGACATTGAGAACTGGGCTGCGGAGTTACAGAAGCTGGATAGGAGCATCTCTCTCCCGAGCCATCCACGGCGGGAAATTGGAGAGGATGAGTACACGTGGTGGCGGTCGCTCAACCTGCCGCTTTTAGGCCTCACACCGCCGCAAGGTCCGGAGTCGCTGCACCTAACGGCGTCAACACCGTCGTCGTCTCGCACCGTTACTCCCTCCACCGGCACCTCCGCGCGTCCCCCATACCCATGGACCCGCGCCGCTCACGCCTCTCCTGCAGCCACGCCCGGCAGTAGCCCCGTGAGGTCGTCCTCGCGTGCGATGCTTCCCCGCAGTCCGCGCCGAGCTGACGACAGCAGGGGAAGCACTAGGTGGCGCGGGTCGGTCCAGCGCAGCCCGTTTGCTTCGCTGCCCCTTTCCTCGGCCAACGCACCCGCTGCGACTGCCACTCCTCGTGCCGAGATGCCTGCCACTCCGTTTGCTGAGGCTCCCGCCGTTCAAGCTCTTCCTTTCCGCGCCGCAAGCAGCAACGCGTGTCCATCTCAAGCGAGTGGTAGCGCGGCGAGTGATCGCGACGCGTGGAGCCATGGCGGGTGCCGCCTCGTGACGCCGCAGTCCAAGGCCAAGGATGGGACGCCAGTGAGACCCCACGAGGCGGCACGTGACGCGCGCATGCAGGCGGGGGTGGCGGAGCCAAACACAGTGCCGTGTGCGGTCAAGTCGCCGCTGGCAGGGGAAGCCATGTGCGCGTACCGCGCGCTCAGGAGGAAACGCGCAATGCAAACGGAGCAGGCCGCGGTTACCACAGACACGGGGACGGCGGAGGCGAAGGAGCGCGCACGTGGGGATGTGACGCCGGGCGCGAAGCGCAAGTTGGACGACGGGTGTGGCAGCACGGGGTCACGGGAAGTGGTGGAGGGCAGTGCGCGGAAGATGGAAGGTGCGTGAGTGTTTGACAAAGGATTTGATGGCGGGGACTGCAGGCTGGTGAAATGATGCTCGGTTGAGGCGGCTGGCAGTGGCCACCCACCATGTGCTCACACCACGTGTGACTCACACTCGTTGCTCCCCTTTCCCCATCCCTCGACCACCAGGCACCCTCTCCATGCCCATGCCCCCTCCCAAGCGCGCAAGACATCACGATCAACCCCCCATGCACTCGCCGTTCCCCCGCGCAATGGCTTCCGCATGCCAGGGTGGCCCCATCGCCCCTGCCGTGGAGGCCGCTGACGCATCGCATCGGGGAGCGCCAGTGGCGTGGCAGAAGAAGGAGCGCGCGGGGGGGGCGGGAGCGGGGAGCGAGGCAGAGGATGTGGAGATGGCGGACGCCATGGACGAGGACGCCACTCCCCCCGCCGCGGACCAGCGCGGCGGGCCGCACGCCGAGTGGAAGGAGGATGAGCGGCGCGGAGCGGAGGAGCGGGAGGTGGAGGGGGCGCGTGACGATACGTCGGGCGCAAGTGGAGGGGGCGCAGCTGCGACTGGTGCAGTGGTTCCATGGCGCAGCGAAGCGGCGGGAGCAGGGGGGGAGGGGACGGGGAGCGCGGAAGCGAGGGGCGGAGCGGTGAGGGAGGAGGAGGGCGGGGTGTGGCTGAACGGGCGGTGGTACAGCAAGGTGAAGGTGGCGGGCAAGGGCGGCAGCTCCGAGGTGTTCAAGGTGGTGGCGCGCGACGGGCAGGAGTTCGCGCTGAAGCGCATCCGCGCGGAGGGCGGCGCGATGGAGGAATTCAGGCAGGAGATCTCCATCCTGACGCGCCTGCGCGGCCACAGGGGCATCATCCACCTCTTCGACTCCGCTGTGAGCGCTGGGGGAGAGCTATGGGGGGCCGCGTGTGTGTGAGTTGGCTGGGGGAGTGTGAAGGGCACCATAGCCACGCGTGGTTTTGCTGTCGGGAAGCGCTGCCATGCGCCTCCGCAGTATTCCCTGCAGCGCGCGCCAGAGGTTCTCATTTGCTGTTCCCGTGCCCTGGACACGTGCGTGTGCGTGTGTATGTGCGTGCAGGTGTGCGAGGGCGAGCAGGCGATCTACCTGCTGCTGGAGTTCGGCGAGATCGACCTGGCGAAGAAGCTCGCCAAGCTGCACAGGGAGGCCGACCTTCCGCACGCCTCCCCCGCCGTGCTCGCCACCGGATGCAAGATTGACGAAACCGTTCTGCGACATTTCTGGCAGGTACGCTCCTCTGCACGCACCCAATTACGGGCACGCGTGCGCGCGTGTGCATGCACACACACACACACACACACACACACACACACACACACACACGCACGCACACACACACACACACGCACGCACACACACACACACACACATACACACGCACACACACACACGTGCACAAGCACACACACGCACACACACACTCACACACACACACACACACTCACACTCGGGCATGCACACGCATGTGGTTGGCTCGGCAATGCACATGCCCCTACGACTACACTCATACAGAAGAGTGTGGTTGTGCGTGCAGGACATGCTGAGGGCGGTGCAGACGATCCATGCGGCGCGCATAGTGCACGCGGACCTGAAGCCCGCCAACTTCCTGATCATAGAGGGCGACCTCAAGCTCATCGACTTCGGCATCGCCAAGGACATCCCCAACCATACCGCCCACATCTCCCGCCACGGCTGTGTCAGTGCCGCTCCCCCCTTCTCTCCCTCTACCCACCATGCCATGTGAAGCACATACTCTCCCTTAGAAGCTACTTCCACCCTTCATTCCAGCACTCACTGCCCTCACTGATGCAGCTATAGTTCTGGCCCTCCATCTCACCATGGTTCTGCGCTGTGATGTGGTGTGCTCGTGCAGGCGGGCACGGTGAGCTACATGTCACCCGAGTCCATCATGGGGCAAGACACAGAGGCAGATGCCGAGGGCGCCACGAGGCCCACGGTGAAGATGGGGCGTGCAGCGGACATCTGGTCGCTGGGCTGCATCCTCTACCTCATGGTGTACGGCCGCACGCCCTTCCAGCACATCCCAGGCTGGGGCAAGCTCAAGGTGACTCCACCACCCACGCATCAATCACGCTCGCATGCCATGCCATGCTGCCATGCCCGCATTGTTCCCGCCACCCGCCAGCTCATCTGTGCACGTGCCAGACGCATGCACCAGGTTGATGCATCTGTACCCACACCCTCCTCCCTCTGCTGTGTATGTGTGGTGTGGTGTGTGGAGCACGGCAGGCCATCTGTGACGAGTCGTGCGCCATTGACTTCCCCGCCGTGGCCAACCCCCACCTGCTGGACGCCATGAAGCGCTGCCTCGTGCGCAACCCAGCCCACCGCATCACAATTCCCCAGCTCCTCGCCCACCCCTTCGTCTCCACCTCCACCCTCCACGCCCCGCCCACTCTGCCGGCTCCGCCTGCTCCTGCCCTGCCTGCGCTGCTGCCTCCTGACGCCACTGCTGCTGCTGCTGCCATAACTGCTGCAGCTGCTGCAGCGGCTGCTGCGGCTGCTGCTGCTGCCACAACTGCGGCGGAAGGTGGGGGGTCCCAGGCGAGCAGTGTGAGTGGTGGAGCAAGTGCAGGGGCAGGGGGGAATGGCATCAGTGAGAAGCTGCTGCAGGTGAGAGATGTGACGCATGCACTCCCTCTTGTGCACTCACCACTTTTGTGTTGCCACACTGCGTCCTGTCGAGCAGCACCATCCAACCCTTAGCAGCGACCACCTCTCTCTTGCACACCATGCATCAGCGCATCCCACTTGGCATTCCTCATGAAGGCGCTGCTCGTGGGTGGGTCGTTTGTGTGGTGTGCAGGACATATTCGCACAAGTGGCCAAGGCCGCAGGATCCAACCCAGCGGCCATTGGCCTGGCAACACAGGAGATCCTAAAGCAGTTGGCGTCGGGCAAGGTGAGGTCGTGCACACGTGCATGCCGCACATGAATGCAGTAGTCACATGCACTCAGAAGCCCTCACTCAGGCAATCACCTCTTGCTGCACTCACCTGTGCTTCTCCATTCATCCTTGCACTTAAGACGATGAAATCTCACACTCCTCTGATTTCTTCTTCCCTCATCGTCGCTGTGCATGTGTGGGAATGCATCAGGCGGAGGGTCTTGACATCCAGGAAATCTTCCGTGCAGCAGGCGCATTCGCCCCTCCTGCCGCCCCACCTGCCCCTCCACCCAAGAAGCCCCCACCACCCCCTCCACCGCCCAAGAAAGCACCCCCCCCGCCCCCACCCCCACCCGGCAAGCTCGGAGGCAAGGCAGCGCCGCTGCTGATCAAGAAGGGCGTGAAGCCCAAGGCTGGCGGGCCCGCCGGACCTGCTCCTGGTGACCTGGCCGCTGCTGCTGCCGCTGCTGCCAGACGAAGGGCTGAGGGCGGGGCCGTGAGGATGAGGCCCCTGGGCGAGAAGAAGGAGGAGGGCGCAGGGAACATGCCCACTTTGAGGTCAGGGCTGAGGAGGGGCGGCGGGGGGCCAGGGGGACGGGGGGGGCTGAGCACAGACCAGCTGCAGGCTGCGATTGAGACCAGTAGGGCAAGGTTGCGACCAGTGAAGAGGAGCGCTGATGGCGCAGCGGAGAAGAAAGAGGAGGGCAAGGAGGGCGGCGAGAAGAAGAGTAGTGCGGTGCCGTGGGAGGGCATACTAAAAAAGGGGCTGGAGGGCAGGAAGAAGGCAAACAAGGACGATGACGACACCGCCGTGTGGGAGTGAGCGAGGGACGGTGTGCGAAAGATGCTGCCATCAGTCAATAATCCACTGACTGCTTTTTAAATCACTCTTCTAGTGCCAGGAATGAAATCCATCTTAAACCCATAGATGTATGATAGGGTACCGTAGCTTGGAAATACTGAGAGCCCTGAGGCCATGTTACAGTAAACATGTTGGGCTGAGAGAAGCCCTTAAGATCTTTGCAGGACTAAATTCTGAGTAGGACAATGTAATAGCGGAAGCGTTAAATGAGAACTTTGTGAACCACCTTGCGCTAGTATGTGAGGGCAAAAGTAGATTGATTAAAACAAAGGGATACAAGCTTTTATAAGAGTACAAGGAATACGAAGAGATACAGTTAATAACCGTTTTGCTGTTGCTGTTGCGGTTCGATACAGTGACGACTCGGGCAACTGCTCAATACAGGGCTGATTTTATCAGGGTAATTACCCTGATTTCAGGGTGATTTCAGACTTGTCACTTTCTGGACCCTGAGAAATCAGGTTTTTTCACATTTTGGTCCCTGATCCATTTAGAGTATTGCTTTAGCGGACCCTGAATTTTTGTGTACATTCTCAGTGTAGGGTTTTCACGGACCCTGTCAATACAGAGTACGAGGCCTGTGGACCCTGAATGCGATGTTATCGGGGCGAAGTTTCTCGGAAATTTCCTCCTGATAACCCCTTCGCATTGATTTCAGTGCCCCCCACGTACGTAATCCTCCCCCCCCCCCCCCCCCCCCCCCCCCCCTCGCTTTATCGAGACGAAGTTTCTTCGAAGTTTCGTTCCCATACACCCACCATCTAGATCGGGCGAATCTATAATGTCAGATTTTAGGTTGCTGTTATTGGTCAAAATAGATTTTCTCTAACACAACGCCAGTCACATCGCCACAGTGTCAGTCACATCGCCACAGTGCCAGTCACTTCTGTCCTCGGTAAAGAAAGAGCGCGTTACTACGACCCTGATTTTCAATTCTCGACCCTGAACATTCAGAGTTCACTACTTCTCAACCCTGAGCAATCAGGGTGCTGTTTTTCTGGAAAATGTGCCTTCAGGGTAAATTTTTTTTTTTTTTAGGTTGAAATCAGGGTACCTAAATTTGAAAAGTCAGCCTGGCTCAATAGCGAGTCAGTTGTTTGTCCTTGCTGTCGCGCTGTATTTGTCAGGTCAAAAGTCGCTGACCTTTGACTTTCGCATAACCTCCAGCAGTTGTTCATGTTGGGCTGAAAAGGCCCTTAGGATCTTTGCAGGACTAAATTCAAGGTAGGATGATGTAATAGCGGAAGCGTTGAATAAAGGACTTGTGAACCACCTTGCGCTAGTATGTGAGGGCAAAGTAGATTGATTAAAACAAAGAGATACAATCTTTTATAAGGATACAAGGAATATGAAGAGATACGGTTAGTAACCGTTTTACTGTTGCTGTTGCGGTTCGATACAGTGTCGACTCGGGCAACTGCTCAGTAGCGAGTCAGTTGTTTGTCCTTGCTGTCGCGCTGTATTTGTCAGGTCAAAGGTCGCTGACCTTTGACTTTCGCGTAACCTCCAGCAGTTGTTCAACCTCCGAGGGTTGACTCGCTGATGCTTCGACATGTTTCGCTTCGCTTCTGACTTGGTGTTTCGACACGACAGAGGCGCTTAAATCAATTGTTTCCAGCACTCCCCTTCGCTTCTGGAGTGTCGCTGCTGATGACATGGCTTTGTCCAGTCAGCAGCATGCAATATTCGAACTTCGACTTTCCGAGCTTCTTGGTCAAGTAATCAGCTACCATCTCGGATGTGGGACAGTAAGACAGCTCAAGTCTCCCCTTCTCGATCTCGTCCTTTACGAAGAAATATCGCAGGGCGATATGCTTCGTCCTGTTCGCGAATCCGTTTTTGTTGGCTATGCGAATTGCCGACTAGTTGTCGCAGAACAAGGAGAAGCTGGGTAACAGAGCCAGCTTCGCCTCCTCCAGAAGTTCGCGAAGGTACAGTCCTTCCTTGGTGGCTGAGCAGAGTGCGATATATTCAGCTTCAGCTGAGGAGAGAGCGATTAGTTCCTGCTTGCTCGATTGCCAGGAAATAGGTCCGATAGGTTCGAGGCGATAGATGTAGCCGGTGCGTGAGCGTCTGTTGTCGGGATCGCCGGCGTGATCTGCGTCGACGTAGCCGACTAGTTTAGGTATCGTAGTCCCGTTCTTGTGGTAGGTTAGACCGACGGTTGCGGTGCTGACGAGATAGTGGAGAGCACGGTCGAGTTCGGCCATGTGTTCTCTGTCAAACTTATATCTGCTATGGTCTATTTAGGGTGTAGTGGGGTAGCTCTTAGAGGGTACAACACTTATGTGTTTCCTATTTGTACCCATCTCATTTCCTAGTTCATTCATTCTTTCGTCTATCTTTCTCACATGGTATAGAGCTAGTTTCGAGAAATTTTAAAAAGGGCCCACCACTAAATTTTTTTACTGCCTACTTGACGCGCGCGTCGCGCTTTCCCTTCGAGGCCCGTCGCGGCCGTAATGCCCCGTAAGGCCCCTTAAGGCCCCGTTTACGGCCCCGTTTGGCCCCGTTTAAGGCCCCGTAAGGCCCCTTTCGGCCCCGTTAGAGGCCTCGTACGGCCCCGTTTAAGGCCCCGTAAGGCCCCTTTCGGCCCCGTTAGAGGCCTCGTACGGCCCCGTCAGGCCCCGTTAGAGGCCCCGTACGGCCCCGTCAGGCCCCGTTAGAGGCCCCGTACGGCCCCGTCAGGCCCCGTTTGGCCCCGTTTAAGGCCCCGTAAGGCCCCTTTCGGCCCCGTTAGAGACCTCGTAAGGCCCCGTCAGGCCCCGTTAGAGGCCCCGTACGGCCCCGTCAGGCCCCGTTAGAGGCCCCGTAAGGCCCCGTCAGGCCCCGTTTGGCCCCGTTTAAGGCCCCGTAAGGCCCCTTTCGGCCCCGTTAGAGACCTCGTAAGGCCCCGTCAGGCCCCGTTAGAGGCCTCGTACGGCCCCGTCAGGCCCCGTTAGAGGCCCCGTCAGGCCCTGTTTGGCCCCGTTTACGGCCCCGTAAGGCCCCTTCCGGCCCCGTTAGAGGCCCCGTAAGGCCCCGTCAGGCCCCGTTCGAGGCCCCGTACGGCCCCGTCAGGCCCCGTTAGAGGCCCCGTGAGGCCCCGTCAGGCCCCGTTTGGCCCCATTTAAGGCCCCGTAGGCCCCGTCAGGCCCCGTTAGAGGCCCCGTCGGCCCCGTCAGGCCCCGTTAAAGGCCCCCCTTCAGGCCCAGCCGGCCCTACTGCGGCTCTGTCGCAGCTCTGCCCCGGCCCTCGCCCCGACCCTGTCTCCGCCCTGCCCCGGCCCTGCTCCTGCACTGCCGCGGCCCGGCCCCGACCTCGCCCCGGCCCTGTCGCAACCTCGCCCCGGCCCTGCCCCGGCCCTGCCCCGGCCCTGCATCCTGCCCCGGCCCTGCCCCGGCCCTGCATCCTGCCTCTGCCCTGCCCCGGCCCTGCCCCGGCTCTGCCTCGGCCCTGCCCCCTGCCCCGGCCCTGCATCCTGCCTCGGCCCTGCCCCGGCTCTGCCCCGGCCCTGCACCTGACCTGCCCCGGCCCTGCCCCGGCCCTGCCCCGGCTCTGCCCCGGCCCTGCACCTGACCTGCCCCGGCCCTGCCCCGGCACTGCCCCGGCCCTGCTCCGACCCTGCCCCGGCCCTGCCCCGGCTCTGCCCCGGCCCTGCACCTGCACCTGCCCCGGCCCTGCCCTGGCCCTGCCCCGGCTCTGCCCCGGCCCTGCACCTGAACCTGCCCCGGCCCTGCCCCGGCCCTGCCCCGGCTCTGCCCCGGCCCTGCCCCTGCCCTGCCCCGGCCCTGCCCCGGCTCTGCCCCGGCCCTGCCCCTGCCCTGCTTCTGCACTGTCGCGGCCCTACCCCGGCCCTGCCCCGGCCTCGCCACTGGTAAGAGTGCCGCCCTGCCTAGCCTGCCCTGCCTAGTTGCACTGCTGCTTCTGCTAGCCTGCCGCTGCACCTGTCATGGCTAGTCTCAATGTTCTTACCTTTGATACTGAGGGTCGTGCTGTTGACTTTGAGGTCTGGCTAGATGATCTGCAGCTTTTCCTACAGTGCGATAGCAAGGATGGCCTCTCACTGTTCGATCTCACGTCTGGCGCCTCTACTGCCCCTGCTGCTGATGCTGACAGTACTGTTCACTCGCAGTGGCTCACGCACGATGCTGCTGCTCGTCTTGCTGTGCGCAATCACCTGCCGTCTACTGAGCGCGCGCACTTTAGTCAGTACAAGAGTGCTAGGGCTCTGTACGACGCTGTAGTTGCACGCTACTCCTCCCCTGCCACTGCTGCCCTCAGCCGCCTCATGCTGCCGTACCTCTTTCCTGACCTTGCCGCCTTTGCCACAGTTGCTGACCTAGTTGCTCACCTCCGCACTAGTGACGCTCGCTACCGCGCTGCCCTTCCCACTGCGTTTCTTGCCACGAACTCCCCCCCCATGTACATCACCCTTTACTACCTAGTCACCCGCCTCCCTGACTCTCTCTCTTCAGTCAGGGATCACTTTCTCTCCCTTTGCCCTACCGAGCTGACTGTCGACTTGCTAGAGGAGCGCCTAGCTGCAGCTGAGAAGAGTATCTTAGCTGTTGGGGCTTCTCGCGGCGACCGTCGTACCCCCTTCTTTGAGGGGTGTTCCCCTGTCCCCCTTCTCCCCTTTGTTGCCTCTGCTGCTGCTGTCGACCTCGTTGGCACTGAGGAGGTCGGCGCTGCGTCTGCCCCTAGTGGGCGACGCCGCACTGGCAAGGGCAAGGGAAGCAAGGGTGGTGGAGGGGGCGGTGGAGGAAGCGGTGGAGGAGGTGGAGGTAGTGGTGGGGGTGGTCCCGGGGGTGGGGGCGTCGGTGGCGGCAGTGGAGGCCATGGAGGCGGTGGCGGAGGCGGTGGTGCTGGAGGTAGCGGAGGAGGTGGTGCTGGTTGCGGTGCAGCCACGCAGCGTGGAGGCCTTGGTGGCGGCCAGCGTCAGCAGCAGCTGCGCACCCGTGAGACCCCGTCTGTTCAGC